CTTGCTCTGAACAGACCTGATGCTGACTTGCGTAGATTGACATTTAAGCTTTTTCTCAATTAACTATGCATGGTTTTTGCTAATCCTTATTTATATTCGCTACCGATATCCATTCCATACTCATCGGACCCACATGGGCTTTTACGTGCCCTTGTGATCCTGATGTCCGACTTTTCCTATATGTAGCAATGGAGCGAGGGAATAATATTTTAATCACACACCGATGTTTCGTTATAAACTCCATGTGACCTCATTCTAAATCAAGGTTTTGCTACCTACCTGACGTCGACTGATTATACGATTACTTCCGCAGGACTTCCTTTGTTGCACAGAAATAGGACATGTGGATTTTGGTTGCAGTATCGATCGCGATAACAGCTTACATATCATCCGGTGATTTAAACGACCCTGATAACTTTCTACCCCTTTCGCATCAAGCAAGCAGTTCAAGGTATTGTAAAAAATTACAGGGTAATATCCCACTTCTTTCAATTGTAATTTGAAATTTGTTTGTTCTTCAGTAACTTTAGCAGCACACTCTCGTAATGTATGAATAAATAAATAAAAAACATGGCAACTGGGCATCACAGCTGTCTGATGCAAGCGAGTGCGATAACTGGCTACTGTGTTCCAACATTTCCGGTTCTGACCTCATGCTTCTTGCAATTTTGTGAATGAATTTCATCGCTTGATTGGCAAACTATATCACCCCTCCCTTTCTTCTTTTTTATCATTCTCAGCGACAGCGAGCTCTTCATTTCATCACTTACTTTTCTTGCTTATATCTTTCCTGTGAACGTTAACTGGTGATTTGATTTAATGACCATTGCTGTGGCGCGCCCTATGGATGCATTGTAAACAAACAAAAATAAAAGGCAGGAAATGTCACAGAAGCATAAGTTATGAAACAAGTATTGAAAATCTACGTCCGCGCTGACAAGTGGGCGTAGCCATCGGGGCGGGGCTCGCAGTGGTGATTCTGGCATGATTTGGTTGATGAATAGCCCGGCCTAATAAATGTGGTGAATTTGATTTGGAAAGTGGGGGTGAATCTGGTTAGGTGGTGAAATCAGAGTAAAAATGGTATAACCCCAGGTTGAAACTGAATTGCAAGGCTATGCTCGCTCAACGAAGCTAGCAGCTTGAAGGATAGGCGTACGGCGTTTGTACTGAGGGCAGGCGTGCGACATATACCATTTTTACTTTAAACTGGACACTTTTCAAACCGAACCGGACACTTTTCAAACCAAATCGGACACTTCCAACCAAATCGGACACGTTTCAAGTCAAGTCGGGCACTTTTCAAATCAAAACGGGACACACCCCTCATAATAGGCAGCTGATAATTAGGCCACACTAGGTACTGCTGCAGGCCCAGCTCCAATGTTCCCGCCCACTTCTCAGCGCGGTCACGGTTTTCTAAAATGTTTTATGGTTGCGCACACACTCCAACTGAAAAGGATTGGTACCCAAGTGCGACTGCCGATAGATCTTGGCATGGTCCTCAGTACTGACAGTATATTGATTTAGCTCCAACCAAGATTGTTATGAAAACTTTATTCGGCTGACGTTTCGGCATCGTCGCCTTCTTCAGAGCCTGGAAAGTCAGAAGACATTTTCGACACTACTCATCCAACACTATTTCAACAGACAGGAAAAGTTCAAAAGGGGGTCGTAAACTACTGTGATGACGTCACGACAACAGTAAGAACTGACCTTTAGGCGACCAATGAGGTCCACCTGTTACCCCGATCTACTGGTGAAGCGGCTTAAATAGGCAGGCCTCCAGGTCACTTTCCTGAGGGACCTCCTGAGGGTCGATCGTGTACATCAAACTCCTCCAAAGGTCACTCCAGGCCACCCGCACTACAAAACCCGTCCACCCTCATACTATTGATTACTGTACCAACCCCCCGACCCCGCCGCAACTAACCACGGGGGATCGACCCCGTAGATCAAAACCCGCACAGACTCGCGAAGGGCGCCAACTCCGTAGTAACCGCCATACACTCATCCCTCCTATTGATCTTAGGGTTTTTGGCCATGATCCAGAAGGCCTGTGAAGTTCCCCGCGCCGCGATATCGGATTCACGTGACAATATCGTGACAGCCACCTCAAAACACATGTTGTCATGACACCGTACCCTATGCTCTCCTAGAGGAGTAGCAACTTACCTAAACTAACTTAAGGATTGGTACCGATACAGATCTGACTCCGCCCACTTCTCAATGAATTTTGGTCTCTGGTTTTGAGTTTTAACTTCTTTCGACGTCGTTCTTTTCACATTCAGTCTTCGCAAAACGAATATGCTAATAGCCATAGTGCATTTATACACCAGCACACTAAGCCCACTCCTCTAGCCAACGTTTGTGTTTTTCGCGGAATTCTGATTTTTCCTCCGAATTTTCGCTTTTTGGACTGTAGCAAATGGCTCCGCCGACTAATAGAAGCTCCGTCCACTTGTAGAAGCCGCGCCCACCTGCCATCCCCTGCTAGTACGGACTCTAGCATGTCGGTTTGCATTATTTTTCAAATGGGCGGGGCTTCTTCAAGTGGGCAGAGCTTATATTAGTGGGCGGAGCCACTTGCTACAGACTAAAAAGCAAAAATTCGGAAGAAAAACCAAAATTTCGCGAAAAACACAAACGTGGGCCAGAGGAGCGGGCTTAGTGTGCTAGAGTATAAATGCACTAGGGTTACTAGCATATTCCTTATGCGAAGGTTGAATGTGAGAAGAACGACGTCAAAAAAAGTTATAACCTGAAAACTAGCGGTAGCTTTATTGGGAAGCGGGCGTAGTCAGATCTGTATCGGTACCAATCCTTTTACGTTGAAATATATGTGTGCAATCATAAAACATTTCGGAAAACCGTGATCGCGCTGAGAAGTGGGCGGGGATGTTGGGGCGGGGCTTGCAGCAGTACCTAATGTGGTCTAGCTGTCAATGCCTATTGTAAGGGGTGTGTCCAATTTGATTGGAAAGTGTCCTTTTTGATTTGAGAAGTGTCCGGTTTGATTTAAAAAGTGTCTATTCGATTTGAAAAGTGTCCGATTTGGTTTGAAAAGTGTCCGATTTGGTTTGAAAAGTGTCCGATTTAATGTAAAAATGGTATATATACTGCTATGCTCGCGCTGGGAGACGGGCAAGAGAATCGTAATTCGTCACTCCGCCGTGCGCGGAGGCAAGCACGCGTTTTCTTAAATCGTGTCAACCTGTCAATTAGAGCAACCGACTTCATTTAGACCCCGTCATCGTGAACATTCATGTCTACTTTCGGTTCTGGTTTGCCTGTTGTCGCCATCCACAACTTGGAACATCGTCACCATCGCGACGTCACACGGACGCCCATCTGCGCGGCGAACTACGATTCTCCTGTCACATACCCGCTCGCACTTTAGCTCCATTGGGGTGATCTTTATGCGGCGAACGTCGCCGTTTGAAAGCTGTAACTGCTGCCTGCACCATTAGTGCAGGGAGTGCGGCAATCAGCAGCTTCTGCTCATCGACCATTGCAGCATGGAGGCCGATCGAGGCTCTTTATTAGATTGTCCGGAAAGTTTTGTGTTACTAATTTTTGTACCATTGCTGAATAAAAACTCATTCTCCCTTGCGTCTCAGTAGTACATATTAAAGAGAATTTTTTGCGCTATCTGATGGTGTAGTTGCCGCTTAACCATTGCTTGATAAACCCCCTCTTCTCAAGGCTTTTTGAAGCATGTCAAAAAAGCAACTTGGGACGATATTTTTCTTCAACTACAAAATGGGTCAATTCGCAGTCGAGACAGCTCCACAAATTAACCTGGTGTGGGGGCCCAATAGTGTTTGAGAAAGCACCATGCGACCATGATTCAACAAATTTCGTTCTGGAGATTTCAGCCTTGGAGGTGAACCTAGCGGTCGACCTGAAGCAATACCTGACGAGGATTTCAAGGCGTTTGTGGGGGCTGATTTCAAGGCGTTTGTGGAGGCTGATCCATCCCAAACAGTTTGAGAGAATGCAGAAAAGCTGGGCGTTGGCAAAACCACTGTTGAGGATCGTCTGAAACGCATTGGGAAGGTGAAAAAAACTCGACAGGCGGGTGCCCCACAATTTGAGTGACCGGCAAAAATTGGTCTCGAGGTTTCTTCGTCACTACTTTTGCGCAACAGAAACGACCCGTTTTTGGACCGAATTGTCACCTGTGATGAAAAGTGGATGTATGTAACATGTATGATAATAGGAGACAGTGTTTGGATGCCGACGAACCACCTAGGCGATTTCCAAAGCCGAATCCTCAAAAAAAAAGATCATGGTCACAGCGTGGTGGTCATCGGCTGGTGCGATAACTTATTGTCACCAGGCCAAACCATTATAGCGAGTCTTACTGCGAAGAAATCGACGAAATGTGCCGAAAATTGCATCAGCTGAAGCCAGCACTTGTCAACAGAAAGGGCCCGAATCTTGCATGACAACGTCCGCCCACACGTTTCACAAATCACTATCCATAAATTGAACGAATTGGAGGTTGAAGTTCTACCTCACCCGCCATATTCTCCAGACCTTTCACCTACCGACTATCACCTTTTCAAACATTTTCAGAACTTCCTTGCTGGAAAACACTTCATCAATCAGGACGAGGCAAAAAAAGCCTTCGTGGATTTCGTGGGCTTTCGACCACCCAGTTTTTTTTCTTTGATCGACTGGTGTCACATTGACAAAAGTGTGCTGATTCGAACAGTGCTCATTTCGATTAAATCCGAAAAGTATTAAGAAAGTTATGATCGTTTAAAGTGAAATACTCAAAACGCTGAGAACTTTCCGGACAACCTAATATATTGCAAATACCACACTGTGCATGCCTCCTTAGTATGAAACCCGTATGACCGCTCCTCATGCTGCTCAGTTTTCCTCTACATCATCTGAGGAGTTGCTCAGCCTAAACACCTTTTAATGGGTCTTTCTTCCCTTAGATTGGAAGCTGTTGGTGAACACAGTCGCAATGTTCATCTAGGAGCACACTACCTGTCGTGAGTTCTCAGGAAAGCAAGTTGTAACGCGATTTGCATCACAGTGTCCGTGTAGAGCCTAGCTTTGCGAACGAGATCATTGCCGTAACCCGAGAACACGATCGACTTGACCCGGAAAGACGACTTCTGAATTGAACAAAGATTTTCATCAGCTCATAATTCCAAAAAGCATTGTTCAAGAAGCATTACCAGGGCAAGGAAGTTTTTATTTGCAGAGCTCAACGCGCTGAGATTGTTATAGTCATAATCAAATTCGAGTAAATGCGGCTTATCGAAAGTGGTGTTCTGAAATTAGTTTGAACGTCAAAACAAAATGGAAGGGATAGGATAACAAGTGTATGTTGTATGTAGTCAATATCATCGCAATCCGGCGGAGAGGTGTCAAAACGCGTTGGACGAGCCCCGTGCTGCTTGTGGTTTCTACCCGGTAGTGGCCAGTTGAGGTAGAAAATAAGCATAGGTTAATCTCCCATGGATGATTTCACGCCTCTTGACATAGCCGCGTTGGATTGCAAAGATATCCACTTTACCTCTGGTTGCCAGATCGCTTTTCTAGATCGAAAGGCTGCATCGTCACCAATGTGCATGACAACGATTGCATCAACGTTACTATGCTGAAAAATAAAAGGTTGTTCCGTGCCCGTCCTTGTAGTGACGGGGCATTAAAGACAGCCCCCGCGCTCAAGTAGTACATGGTCGTCCTTCATTGGGCAGGCAGTTCAGCCCCCAAGCTAGATACTCTCTCACTCTTGCAACTCGCATCAGCGAGCGAGGAGCGAGTTAGTACCCCTCAAATTTCTAGTTCTACCGCCTGCTCAGTTGGAACGCATCACTAGCTAGCTGCTCATTGACGGAACGCCGCTCAGTTGTTCTGGGACGGCAGTCACTAATCGGAGCTGCATGATTTTTTGCTGACCGCGCTCGTGCTCGTAAATAATTCTGCTCTCCTTCATCACATTTTATTCATTGGGAGCACGTACAGTCAACAACAACCCATCTCGTAAGGTAAAACGCGTAAAAATCACGAATGGTGCAATTTCTGCGGTGCAAAAGCTCGACGAACTTCACTACACTAGAACATGCTCACTACCGTAACCCTAATTCGGACGCCGGCTTTTTAAATGTTTCCTTTTCTTTTCAGGAGCTTTTCCTCATTGTTTCTGTTGTTTTTTTGTTTTCTTTTCTTCGCATTCGATGATATCCACTACTGGGAGACGTGACAAAGTGATTTGTGGGCCAGGGCTTGCACAGAGACCGCAGAGCAGGGAGGTGTGGCTGTCAAGGCGCGATTTTGTTTATGGTGTTCTGAGGGCTCTTGTTTCTTTTTTCCGTCATTGAGGAATCACTTATCAGCTACTGTTTCATAATTGCTCTGCAATTATCCTTGAAACTTTTATCGCGGGAGCTGTCTTTAAAGCATTGTTTTCAGTGGGAAGCGGTAGCGCATCACCCTGCCGCCTAAACCTACACCCGGGAAAACGGCGGGACGAGTTTTATGGGCGCAAGTCGTCCACTTCGTTGTGGGACCACGCGTCTCTTCAACTTCATTTAAATTAGGATACGTCTAATTAGGATAAGAGCGGCTCTTTTGAGAGATTACCGCTCTTGTGCGTAATCATAATTAATAGGCGCAGTTTACCGACGGGGAGGGGGGATTTCGCTTTCCATAGATGAGTCGACCCATCTAGGTAGCGTTTTCTCGAGTTGACACATTTTGGGATTTTTGGGATGGTGGCTAGACGATCCTGCTCACAAGGGTTCACAAGTTTCACCAAAGTGAGATTTGCAAACCGGAACAAGGGAAGCAGTGATAGTACGGAATTCCCCCGTCGATAAACAGCGCCTAGTTAACAATTTCTAGATCAGCGTCTGCTTCGAAAGGCTCATGAAAGTGGGTACTGACTTACCAGTTTCGTGCTTTGGTAAGTGCATACTACTTTTGGCTTTGTGGATTGGTTCCAGAGCTTCCGCATGAGCAAGAGTGGGTTCCATGTTTGTACTACGCGGGGCTGCTCTCGTTCACCTGCAGAAGGGGGTGGGGGATACAAGTGAGAGCGTTATTATGTTGTGGACTGCGTTACAATAGGCCTGGTTATAAGCATGAATATCTGCCAATGATCCTGAAGGAGTAGTTCACGTTTTCACGCAGCTGTACCCTTCTCCACTACAACTGCATTTAAAATATTTTGATTATATTCTGCTGGAATTCGTTTACCATTCCGGCCTGTGAATTGCAGTGAATCTAGATCTAACAGACACTAGTTGTTGTTCTCCTAAACTCAGCAGAGCTCTCTAAAACTGAGCAAGTCAAAAGTGTCTACAAACCACATGTCAAATGGTAATTTTCGCCCGACAGACATCTAACAAACAGCCCTTCTAGCATTTGTGCGCAGACCGAAGATAGGCTGTAGATATCTTCCTGTGTCGAAATCCAACGCTGAGTGGCAGAACTTTTAAAAATGGTGACACCCCACGGGATATAACCCCTAAAACAAAAGATGCACTTGAAATGTTCAAGTTTCCGGCTGCACCTCAGGTTTCATGCTTCGTAATCTAAGCAGAAGCAGATCTCGAAAATATTAACTGTGATTTCGCACAAAAGCGATAATCTTGCAAAAAAAAACGCTCTTATTGAAGTATCCTAATTCAAATGAAGTTAAAGGGACGCGTGGTCCCACAACGAAGTGGACGACTTGCGGACGTAAAACTCGTCCGGCCGTTTTTCCCGGTGGCAGTGCGCATCACATGGATTGTTCGCGAAGAGAGATGTTGGTCGGTAATACGTAATAATGATTATCAATGAAATCGGGAATAAATTAGTCCACTTCGCCTTGCACCATGAGTCGACCATCCTTACAGGCGATGATGTTCAGAGATTTGTCAGCCCATTGGTAATGGCTTTCTCCCATGAGAGCTGCATGAAGAATCTAAATGAAAAAGTTCCAAAACTGCCTTTTCTGGGATGTGCTGCGGCTCACTTACCTCTGCTGTGCTGTTGTAGGACTTGTCCGTGAGTGTCAGACAGAAACATGCTGTTTCCACAGTATGGAATGACTTAGCGTTAGTCTTAGAAGCTGCCATCATCGACGCCCGCACCTGTGTTGGGAAATCATATTAATTCTTCAACAAAAAAGGATGTTCCACTCCCTCAATTGACAATGAATGAAACTAATAAGTCACTGAGTAGTTAAAGACTTTTTCAAGAAGATCTAATGGTGACTGTGATTATCTCTCTGGTAAACAGGTCCGTAAGCCTGAAGGTTATGTCACCTCCGCGGCTCATGTTCATGGCAAGCGCGCTAACCAGAAATGGTTCTCACGTCGAAGTGTTCTCTTGTAATGAGACATAGATCGCGCGACGTGTTTTTGGAGGCAGTTGGCACGATAAATTGGTACTCACTCTAAAATGCTAGCTAATGCTAATGGGTGCTACATAGCGGGGAAAATGGTGAAAAAACGGAGTGAAACGGTCAAAGACCTGCGAAGAAAAGCCTTCATACTTGACTCGAGAAGCAATTTCAGGCGAGTTTTCCCGTAGGCATCATGCCAATAACCGCTACGGTAGATACAGCTGAAGGTTTGTACTCATATATCGTCTGCTGCTGCTGCGGCTGCTTCAAAACAATCCCTTCGCTTCATGTTTTACTTAGCAAAGGAAGCAGCACGAGCACCATGTATGATGTCCATTTATGGACGGGCGGGTGCGGTGGGCGTCCGTGTCGGTATGTTGCGGCTTGATAGGGCCTTATAAGGGTGCCTTTCTTGGGAAAGATGCTACGCAGCGCCTTCTCAGAGGCGCGGAATTCCGTCTTGCCAGGCTCTTTGAAGGGAATTATGAAAGATTGTATGAGTGAAGGCACACACAGTCAAAAGCGATTGCCGCGCATTATGCACGCGACTTGGATGCAGTGTCAGCAGCAGAAAGGTGTAGTGAAAGAGTCTCCCTCACAAGCATGATAGGATGGTTTAGGCTTTGAGGGCGACAGGTTTCAGCATTTTGCGAGGAATGTCTATTTTTGGGTCTTTTGTGAGTCAAGAAGACACTTTCAAACGTAGATATGATCGCACTTTACGAATCCAGTCGGTACTCAGGCATCCTACAGGAGTGCGAATCCGCCTGCGTCCTACAAGAAGTCAATTACGTACAGGTGTCCATACATGCGCCGCAAGCGCGCAAACGGTGTTAAACTCGTGTACACACAGCAAAATTACCCTTGGGACAGATTCCCAGCCAAATGTGAGGTTCTGACGCAACTTCGGGAGAAGAGTCTGCAGCAGCGGGTGAATAGTGGCATCCAGTGGTTGTAGAGCCAGCCTTTCACCGATGGCTTGTCTGCGGACGAAATTTGCTTTCAATTATCAGGAAAACCAGCAGTAACAGAATGAATTTGTCAGAAATGACAGGATGGGCTTTGTACAGGAGATTACTGAAGAATGCATCTGTAATAAGTGAACATGGATTGAACTACACCCTATGGGCGCTCGTCTTCCCTAATGAGGTCAAAATACCAGACGTGACCAGAAACTTGTACGTGAGTGTAGTCTGACCCGCTAGACACGAATATGACACTCCAGCTTAAAAGCCCCTGTATGGTACGCCACGGACACCTGTGCGCCCAAAGCTTCTTCTAGATCATAGGACGCCCAAACGCAGTAATTGCTGAACGCAAATTCTCCGGACATGTTCAAATGAGCACTGATGTAGTAGTGATGCTGCAACCATGTTTTGCAATCTTCCTGCAGCAAGCACAAGAATAAGCCTAGCGGGGACCCAATTCCACGGCGAGTCTATTGCCAGACGCGAGGAAAACAGCTCTAACTTCGTTCTGGGAGCCAATCCGCAAGTTTCGATGGCAGGTTTGAGATCAGCGTCCAAAACCACGTCCTACAAATGACTACTTTCACCTAGGAACCATCACTATGTAGTAAGTAAAAAACCAAAATCACAAGCACAATCTCAGCCCACAGTCACTCACTAACCACTAGCAATACCGCCACAATTTCGCCTTCTGATTCTTACCTTAGCCCACTTATCTCTGTTTTCAGTAGTCATTGATGCCACGCATAAGCGAGCATTTTCTTCAGAATGCTTGTCAATATACTGCAGAGTCTGAAATAGGTTTAAATCACTCAAACTTCTTCGATTATACATAGAACTCTACTAATGATAAGGGACGGACGGGGTATAGTGGAAAGTAGCCCGGTTTACCACATGCGCGGCCTGCTGCCTGGTCAAGTGCCAAATCGACTTTTGATCGGGCTATAATTGTTCTGTCGCACATTGTCTCGCCATCTTCTTCTATCCAAGGCATCGTCTGACCAGACTTGTGTGAGTTCATTCTCAGTGTAGTTCTTCCACCTCTTCTTTCGGGCTAATCGGGATGGTTTGCCCACAGCTTCTACTCCAAAGCTTTCATTCTTATAGCATACCAGTTTGGCTGACGCGCACTACTGCGCAGTTCAGTGATCCTGATACATTACAGGATTTCTGCGCCCACCCCTAACGCTTGGCCTAATTCTTATGTTTCAAAATCATTTCATTTCATCATATTTCCACATTTCTCCTCATTAATGAGCAACAATGTGCTAATCAGTTTTCTAAAAACATAAAGCAGGCAATAGAACGACTAACCGGTTGAACAATACCGAAATCGTATTGTTATGATAACTGCTGCTCAACGCCGCAGTACGCGATCCGAGTGTCATCACAAGAATGCTGAGTTGTGGGCAAAAGTCGTGCCCCAGGCGGGAGTCGAACACGCACCTCACGCTTTCCGGGCGAGTGCGCTATCCGTTATGCCGCCAGGGTTGCTTTTGCCCTTTCAGCTTAACGGCTTATGCCGTAACCTTACAGCACTCGCACGATAACCTTGGTGAGCCGGTCAGCCGTAGCAGTTATCATAACAAAACAGCTTCAAAAACTTGTAAAGCCTTCGGCCTTGCGGTTACATGCCGATATCTAACGATTACGGCTGACCGGCTCACCAAGTTAAACGTGTGACTGCTTTAAGGTTACGGCATAAGCGTTAAGATGAGAGGGCAGAAGCGGCCCTGGTGGCGTAACGGATAGCGCACTCGCCCAGGAAGCGTGAGGTGCGGGTTCGACTCCCGCCTGTTGCACAACTTTTACCTACAACCCAGCGTTTTTGTGATAATATCGAAATCATAGTGAAATGTGCTTAGAAGATCATATTACTTTCGTTAAGCAGCTTTCACATATTCGTCTGTTGGTGGCTCTTATCACTCCCCACTGGCGAACAACATCAAGTTTCTACTTTTTGTTGAAACTCGAGAGTTTAGCGGTCGAATCACTTCTGACCATAACACTAAAGGATATAAACACTGAGTCTTTGCCCGTTGATTTCATGGACTACGGTGGTCAACTTCAGTCGCAAGCGGAGTAAAGCTGCAAATGACCCTTGTCGTACATCATATCACAACTTATCTCCCACCACCAATGTTCCCTTGCCACCTCTGAATTGCTTAGAACTTTGTGGCTTTCCTGTCTGAAGTGGTCCCTATGGTATCTTATCAGCTGTTGTCACTGCCTGCCACCCACCAATGATGTTCCCATCCTGCCCCCTATCTTACTACTTGGATCCAGCGTCCAGTCGTAGCTCTGGCCGGTATTACGAATTGGGTGACCCTACCCTTCTGAGGCTCCTCGTGCAATCTTATCAGCTGTCATCACGCCTGCCACCAACCGATAATGTTCCCATCCTGCCCCCTATCTTACTACTTAATTCGAACGTTTCGTAGTTGCTCTAGCCCGGGCTATGAAATTGGTGACCCTCCCCTTCCTAGATCCCCTATGGTATCTTATCAACTCTTATCAGTTCTTGCCACCTACCAATAGAATTCCTGCCCGACCCCCTACATCACTTATCAGTTTGAGCGCTCTGTAGCTCTTTTGAAGGAAGTTATGATTTTCCGGTCAAACACACATACGCACACCAACAGAGAGACTTAGCGCATTATATGTAGTAGGGTATTCATTGTTCTCACTCTCCTGTGACCTGCATCCTATATCAATCTCATCAGTAATCTTACCTATTAGCTACTGGGTGAGTATCTCCTCAGATTAGCATGAGTGTGACTGGTACTTCTATCCCAAAATGTTCGCCAAACTTTGAGTGGAAATTTAAAACATACATTGTAGAACTCATCGGGGCTCTTTATCTGACCGCTTCTGTGCGTCTCGATCTGCCATAAATTTCCTCGACATAATACAATGACGTGCGACGGGCAATTGCCTTCTGATTCTGAAATTTCCTCATTACCACATCCGCTCTTGGCTTTCAGTTTGTCCAATTTTGCTGCGAGGGGTGTACAATGTATTCTCAGTACATGGTGAAGGAAAAGGCAGAAAGTTTTGAACAAAATTTTTTTCAGTGTAGTCACTCATCACCTCAATGCACGTGCTCGGGAAACTAACTTTTCAATACCCTCTGAAAATATTTTTTCCTTGTCCCTAAAATGTGCGTTAATTGACGTTTTCAGCTCCTCATCGTCAGAAGAACGCTCTTCGTAAAGATCTTCGTTGTTCAGGTTGGGAAACAAGAAGTAATGAGTAACCATTCACCAAGTTTCCTTTCATTTTACTCAACTTCTCAGATCAGGTAATCATTTTCTCAACACCTTCGCATCAGACATTCTAATCTTCCTCACCAAGTTCAACTAGGGTAGCATTGCAATGAAATTAGATGAAGTTTTGTATTTATACCCAGAGGGTGTCGCTACCTATTGAAATTACAGTCGCGATCCCTCAGACGAGGTAGGCGGAATTGTGGACTTCACAGCGCGATGACGGCTGTAATAGGGGTGACGGCCGTTGCTGCACGGGGCAGCAATCACGGCGGTCCTCTGCTCTCTGCGCCACCTCTCCACGAAATCGCGCCTCTCAGCGTACACTCCTTCTCTGCGCTCTGTCCGCAATAGCCGGCTGCACCGCGCAATCAGCTGATTCCAGCGATTTATTTTTTTATCGGAGCTGTTATTCTGCTTCCTGAACGCCAGAAAAGCGAGGTAAGTTCATATTATTTACTCTAATTTCAGGTTTTATTGTATATTTTGCTTTTAGTTGCTATTTGACTGCCGTAACGGTGTTTTTACCCACTTTTTGATTTAGTTTAGGTTTTCCTTGTTTGTACTTTGAATGCTGGACTGCTCTCTATGGCAGTGTCGTTATGTGTCCTCATTTGTGCCAAGGACACTCTCTGACACCGTTTTGGAGGATGCGGTCTTTCTGAAGAAAGAATGAAAAAACGAGCAAACTCACAGGGTGACAGAAATTACGTGCAGCGGCAAAAAAAATCGATAAAGTGCATTTCAAAAAGACCGCATCTACCAAAACAGTGTCAGGGAGTTCCATGGCACTGATGAGGACACATAACGGCACTGCCGGAGAGCAGTCCAACATTCGAAGCAAAAACAAAAAAAACCTAAACAAAATCAAAAAGTGGGCAAACACACCGTTACACAGTGAGCGACTAAAAGCGAAACATACAATAAAACCTTAAATTAGAGTAATTATTATGAACTCACCTTTCCTTTTTGGCGTCTAGTTAGCAGAATAACAGGCAAAATAGAAAAATAAGTGAAATCAGCTGACCATGCAGCATCGGCCGCCACCCCTACTGCAGCCGCCGTCGCGTCCCAGTGAAGTATGCAATTACGGCTAACCCGTCTGAGGGATCACGACTGTATTTAGAGACAGCGACCGCTCATGTGATGTTCCCACGCCTTCTCTGGTTATCTAGTTTTGCATCTCAAAATGGCGAGAGCATAGCGCCGTTTGCTAGTGAAGAGTCGGCCACTCTATCCATATGGCGACCACAACGGCCATCTTTATTTCTAATGGTTGCCGGATGATGCGGTTGCTCTGCTGCTAACTCTCTCCCTTCGAATGGTGAGAATGAGGTGATAAGGGAAAACAGTTGATGCAGCAAGTGAGAACTCATGCAAGCTCTCAATAACACTCAACATGAGGTTCTTTATAAAGCATTTTCCATGACTTTTAAATTTATCTTCTTTAATGGACTGTTTGCCATCTTATTACTATCTGAAGAGCATACTCATCAAATCTGAACGCGCTCTCAGCCTTAAACTCCTTCGTCGATGCCAAATTACCCCGATATCGAGAACACTTTGAGTGGTCCTCGCATCTGCACCTCTTCTTACGTCCAAATCCATCCATCAGTATAAGAAACCCATTTTGCGTGCACATATGTTTATCTCTATGTTCTTCAGCGCCAGCATGTTGAGTAGCTCGCCATTGCAGTACGTTTGTCTCTTTTGTCTTAATATCCCTACTATTGGGTTGGCACATAAGTACTTTCGTTTTTTTTCAACCGGAAATTTCGTTCCAAAGATGAAACGTTTAGCTAGCAAGCTTGATGTCTTCTGATAGGAAACTTCACGTAATTTTAGAATATCAAAATGGCTTCGGTCGAGGGACTAATTTTTGTGGATTTTTTAGTCGTTGAATTTGAAAGCGAATTCGGCGAAAATTAGCACCTTCGACAACTGCCTTTATTTACGTATAGTAGAAGTGCTAAAATCACTTAAGCTGCTCCATACATTTGAGAAACATCGAGCTAGAAGTTCCAGCAAAGGAATCTCACTAGAACGCTTTGGAACGATTTTCAAAAATTTTGAAGTTACCAACCTTCACCTCGCCGATATTGGGCAGCTCGCGCTGTTCCACCTGAAATTTTATGCATTTGAATGTTTCGCAGATATGTTTTGCATGTTCTGATAGTAAATTTCGTGCTCTGTAACACTGCTCTAGAAATCTGTTCTCCGAAGGTGTCTGCTTTCTGTTGAGTTTAGGTTATCATTACGGAACGCGAAGTCGTTGAGAACTAGCGTTCCCGTTCTCCACGAATTTTATGCTAACATTTAAATGTTTCGCTAATGTGTTCTATATGTTCTGATAGCCAATTTCGTGATCTATAACATTGCATTGCAGTTATTTTGAAAATCCATTTGATGAACCTTGTTTTTCAGGTGGATAATATGGAATGTCAGGTCGATAAGCATCAGCATCAGACATCTCCTCCTTTTCGCATTCAACAGAGGTATCAGAGCTGCTGATGCCGCTCGGGAAATAGAAGTGTACGGAGAAGAAGCCCTCTCTCTCAAAACCCAAAAAATTGGTTCAGACGCTTCAAGAATGGTACTGATACCTCTGCTGAATGCGAAAAGGAGGAGATGTCTGAAGTGCTGATGCTTATCGACCTGACATTCCATATTATCCACCTGAAAAACAAGGTTCATCAAACGGATTTTTAAAATAACTGCAACGCAGTGTTATACAGCACGGAATTGGCTATCAGAACATATAGAACACATTAGCGAAACATTCAAATGTTAGCATAAAATTCGTGGAGAACGGGAACGCTAGTTCTCAACGACTTCGCGTTCCCGTAATGATAACCTAAACTCAACAGAAAGCAAACACCTTCGGAGAACAGTTTTTTAGAGCAGTGTATAGAGCACGAAATTTACTATCAGAACATGCAAAACATATCTGCGAAACATTCAAATATTAGCATAAAATTTCAGGTGGAACAGACGTGAGCTGCCCAATATCGGCGAGGTGTAGGTTGGTAACTTCAAAATTCTTGAAATTCGTTCCAAAGCGTCCCAGTGAGATTCCCTTGCTGGAACTTCTAGCTCGACCTTTTCCAAATGTATGGAGCAGCTTAGGCTATTTTAGCACTTCTACTATACGTAAATAAAGGCAGTTGTCGAAGGTGCTAATTTTCGCCGAATTCGCTTTCAACTTCAACGACTAAAAAATCCAAAAAAATTATTTCCTCAACCGAAGCCGTTCTGATATTCTTAAACTACGTGAAGGCTCCTATCAGATGATATCAAGCATGCTAGCAAAACATTCATGTTTGGAACGAAATTTCCGGTTAAAAAAAAACGAAAGTACTTATGTGCCAACCCAATACATACATTACCCGATTTTCAGTCCCTCTATCCGTCAGCTTGTTGGTTTGCTGGTTTGGTTTTGTCCATCCGCAAACCCATGGATATTCACTGGTGGTATGAATGCGAAAAAATCCACTGATACTGAATACAGCCCACATAAGATACTTGCAGCTATGACAAAAGGAAGCGTAGCAAGTAAAACGAAAACCCAACGAATGAGAGCGCAAAAACTGATATAACCTGTTCAACAGTGGTCACACATTTGTCAGATATAATAGCTGATTTCTCGGGAATGAAAATGATTGCGAAGCATGATAAAGTTTTTCGACTGCCTTGAATTACTAACCCGTTTTGAAGTATCTATCCATTCGGTCCTTCAACAACTCCGGTACTCGACAGGAGTTGAAGATACAGCGATACTGGTGCATGTCCCAATCTGTTCCGCGACTTCTGGTGATTGGCAGGGTTTCTCTGGAAATGAAATCGTCAACTCGGTTTCAAGATTGACTGAATTACTTGAATCTCCTTTAATAGTGATTTTATATTTTTTGGTTGAAAGCGACGTAAAACAAGACGAGTTCACGCAACAGCTCTACTCATTTGTTTCACAAAGTTCGGGTTTTGAGCTAGCGCTATGAATTAGCAATAGTTTCTGAGGAGGAGGTACGGAATGATATTGGAAGAGCCTGCCCTTGCAAAAAATATATGATAATAAATAAAATGTATACTTAAACATATGGACTGGTGGGCGCTGTGGACTTTCAAAAGACTGAACAACAAACCAGTAAGATCACATCCGCCAGGCACTCACTTTCTAATCTTATCCCAGAACAACATCCAGTAGTATATGCTATCAGCAGCTCGACAAATTTGCGAGCCCTCAAGTGAGGTCCATAGGCTGTTGCTGGCAGCCAGCGACACGTATGGCACCAGAGGAAGCCGACTCTCGCAGTACGCATCGTACCACCATTCTTCCAGCTGGAAACATCTTCGGTGAAATCGCAAACGGTAAAAAACACTCCTCGTCAATGAGCATCTCTTGAGATCAACATCACAGCCGTAGAATCGGCTGATTGTGAGAGTAAACTTGTGCTGTGATCATTCCAATGAACCCGTCTAAGATGTTTGTAAAATCAAAGGGCTTACTTCTTGACTTCTTCGCCCTCATCAAACTTGCCCTCTCAAATGCTCTGAACTCACAGTGCACGATTACCTCACAGGCAGATAGCCCTCTACTCAAAGGTGCCCATGTCTATGGCTGGCAGGGGTGCTACGTGAATCCCGTGTCAAGAGCACCAGAAGCTTCTGAAGAAGGGCCATCTTTCCCGCATGCGTGCTTCTCCCCCCACTCCACAATTTGTTCCCACAATGCAGGATAAGACAGGAAGTTTTTACACTTCAATATATTCGTAAAGGTGGAAGGGACGAGATGTGGAAAAGAGCTGGTATCGTTATAACATCAGCAAGCAGGAACTATCGAGACATATGCTCTCAGCTATAGTACTTACTTTCCTCTTCGCTGTATGCAAGCACAATGCGGTTCTTCGAAGAGGTCCATTTGGGACACCTTCGACAGTTTCCTTTATCTTTCTTCATGGATGCGCCACATATCACCTCCTTTTTCATAATGGACCACCACTCACCTCCTTTTGTATCAGGTTGTCCGGAAAGTTTTCAGAAAATTTCACACTTTCAGTATGAAGAAGTGTGGCAGGCAAATGCCGTAACACAAAATCATATACTAAGTGCAATGAAAAAGAGAAATGTCTGCAGATCAATCCTGGTTGTGGTTGGTGTTATTGTCCATTGTTGGTGGGAGTTGACATTACCTGGAAAATGCACTGGCGCACACGACTCTCAACGCCTTTCACTTCATCTTCACCGCTCTGGCTACTCTATCGGTCAAATCGAGAATGAGGCACCGTCATGGATGCTGGATTAAACGCCCTTAAAAAGTTATCTGTAATGGGGATCAGTCGGTTTTGGATGTAATCCCGCCTAAAAAAGTAAAGTTAAGGGAATGGGATGGGCAATGCTCACTATAATTATGGGTTTCTATCTCTTATCGTTGTTGTTAGATGTCAAATGAGCGGTTGGAATTCTTCAAAACTGTCCGGACAGCCTAATATTTATGTCACGCGACATTCCCATCACGAGAGCTTCATGGTTAGTGTACTTTATCTTACTGCATTCAAAAGCAGACCTTTCCCACCAGGTAGTGACGTTCGCTCAAGGGTTACTTTCGGGATCTCAGCCTCCCCAGGATGCTGACATTCAGCCGCCCTTATCGCGTGGATCCAGGCCACACACTTGGCCCTCCTTCTGCAGTTCTGGACCAGTCTTTGTTGACATAGAAGGATCGTGAATCGTCTGTTATACAGAGAAAGCGTTGACGTTTTAAGCTCCCATCAAACATATTTATGTCTACCTGAATAGTAATCCGGTTATTTTTTACACTTTGGGGCTCACCCAGTTCTTCATCCGAGCTCCTCTATCTATGAGAACATTCTGTAACTGTTCAGCTGTGGCGCTACTTCGAAAGACTTCTACGTTTTCTCTTGTCTTTTTCCTTTGATCCTCGTTCAGTAATACAAGCGCTGAAATTGATTCTCACAGCAAATTTAGTCAAACCCTCTTGCATCTCAAGAGGCCTAAATCGCTCAGCTCATGTCCTAAAAGGCTCACCTGATTCGAGATACCTGTCAAGTGTTGCATTGAGATCTGGCACAGGTAGGGGAGGGAGCTCTTCCTGCTTTGAGAAAGTTACCATAGTACTCACAGTGCGGATTTGTATGTAGTGGAAGATGCTTCAAGGGTAGAGAAGGTAATCTGAAGCAACTTTCTGACTGGAAGACGTGGGAACAATAGAAAGCCCAAATTGTCAATAGCTGCATATGAATATGCAGCTATTGATAATTTGTGCGTTCTATTGCATATGGCATCCACGCCCTAAAACACGGATCAGGGGAGAATCAGGGGAGCATGGCTGCAAAACATTTGTCGCATCAAGTGAAGAGATAATTGTACATTCCTGAAATTCGCATCGGCCGCGTGTTTCCCACCCTGTGCCTTTAAAAGCCGTCGAGTCAATGTCTCTCCCAGTGCACGTGACGATCACATCGATGACGAGAACAAATCATAAGCGAATAAGTGTCCAGGTTTGACCCTCGATGAATCTGGGCATACTTTGAAGTAGGCAGCAGGAAAGTACAGGAATTGGAACTATGCATATCGAGGACTGCACTCAGAAGCAAGAGAGATCGAACTTTTTCTATGCTCAGGGAGTGTGTGTCTAAAGAACTGTGTGGTCAACGGTTTGCCAAATTCCCTATGGAGGAGGATCGTGGGTGAGTCAATAATTATTTGTGATTCTATCCGTTCGAAGGTCAAAGTAAACTTCAGGTGTGCAGTAGGCTAGTAAATATGGAGAAATGTCATTTATCGCAACCAAAGTGCACCACCTCCACTTGTTCGGACCACCCACAGACTGACCACGGGGAGGCAACGGGATCTGTTCCACCTAGAGTCACTGTGATTGGCGGCGTGAGTCGGTCCGACAACGCGCTTTCCGTTCTAGACCTCGGTCATAGTTTTGCACCGAGCCAATGGATAAGTCATGCGGTATTGCAAAAATTCCTAGGGGCCCTACGAACTCTTCAGGACAGCCTACGCCTCAGAGTCAGATGGCGAGAACAGGGTCAGCAATCTGCTACTCGGTCGAGTCTCCCTACAATCTCCCTTCTCTTTTCTTCAGAGCACAAGACCCCATCCTTGAGTGGATGTGAAACTCCGGCTTTTCGCAACTTCACCTTTTTCTAAACTTACTCGCGGAAGCCCAAAACAGTGCATCCCCAGCCTCACGACGGTGCAAAGACAAGAACTGAAAGAATTGAGGCATCTCACTCTGTCTGGTCGTATAAAAATATCTGTCAGCGATAAGGGAGGTGAATTTGTCATATGCCTCGAGATCTTGATATGGTCATAACAAGATCGCACCTCCAAGGTGAAAGTCTCTACCGTCTATCATCCGAGAAAGAATTCAAGAGGCAATATCGGAAACTAAACAGGGTGGGATTGACATAGTGCGAACTGCACAGCTCCCGAGGACAGTGGGCACACGACAGAAATGTGGTCTGCCAACCTGACCCAGTTCTCTATGTTCTCGTCAAAACACAAGCTTTCGCAGACCACCCTGTCCTCAACTAATTCCTCAGATTTCCACGTGCGCCCAATAATAAGTGGGAGTAGCTCCCAAAGACAGGATTTCATGGCTGTTGAACCTTGTGCTGGTACAGCTGCTGCAGTTCATCCCTGCCCAGCTCAGCAATACTGCACATTTGCTCGACTCGTTGCGGGAGGCCAGGTTTAGACGGAACCATGTGATGGAATCGTTTGGCCTAACATCCCTGTACACAAACGTGGCAGGAGTCATGCAGGCCACCTTCTGAGCACGAGGCATCGATCAACATGTATGGCATGTCGACAGTCCACAAATGACGTTTGTTAAAGAGTGTCTCGATTGTTCCATTTATAGGTGGGCCGGTCAACACTACAGGCAGCTCAGAGGTCTGGCCATGGGTCAGCGGCTGACACCAGTCCTAGCGATTGCCTACATGTCCAAGATAGAACAACCGTTACTGGACCGCCGACCCATTCAAATGACGTTTGTTAAAGAGTGTCTCGATTGTTCCATTTATAGGTGGGCCGGTCAACACTACAGGCAGCTCAGAGGTCTGGCCATGGGCCAGCGGCTGACACCAGTCCTAGCGATTGCCTACATGTCCAAGATAGAACAACCGTTACTGGACCGCCGACCCATTTTGTACAAACGCTACATAGACGACTGTCTCATCGTCTGCACCGATGAAAGGAATGGATTCGTGCTTCGACCTCCTTAATAGCTAGGCTGAGAATATTCGGTTTACGAGGGAGAAACTGCAGATCCAGCTTGAGCGCGGGTTCTATCGGACCAAGTGGTACCGGAAACCCACCAGCAAGAACATCTTAGTCCATTTCCGGTCGGCGCATCCTCTGGGGACCAAACGGGTTATCAACAGGAGCATGTTCAGGACAGCTAAAATGGTCTCATCAGGAGACCATTTTGAGAAGGAAAGAGAAGAGTCCTTGGAGTTAGCTCGGGAAATAACGCCTCCTAATGGTTACCCACCAGAAGGTGAATGCTCCCTAGACCACCCACTAGGAGCCAACAAAGTCCTGTAACCGAGAGTTTGGAGAAGGTACCATTTTGCCTACTCTTCGTAAGTGATGCGCTGCTGTGAGATCGTCTTTGCGCAGGTGTGGTCTCGACAATATGGTTCAGTTGGTCGAGATCCCTCCTGTGAGCCTCAAGCAGCAGTTGATCCGCAACCGCGGGTATGATCGCTACTACCCGACCCCACAATGTGTCACGTGTCCTTATGTGCGGGAGGGGGACTGCATGGCCTCAGGTGTCATCTACCTGATGTCACGCACGAGTTGTGGGGATAAGTACATCGGGGAGACAGGACGATTCTTGTGCTCCAGGGTAAAAGGGCACCTAGATGGATTGAAGCGATCTAGGCCAAAGAACCCCCTGGGTAGTCATCGGGTTCAATGCCATGGAGGCGTGGAGTTTGAGGTAACGGTTAGGATTTTGATGCGAGAACCGCAGACTTCTGCGCGCAAAACTTTGGAATCGTTTTGGATAGAAGCTAAAAATCCCAAAATGAACAGAAAGGACGAATGCCTGGCCATCACAAACGAGCTCGCCCCATTTGCTGACCTATGTGTGCTTCAATTGCCATCGGCTTCGCGTCGAGGGGCCAGGTCAGTTGAAGCCAACTATGGGGAGTCAATTCAGCGGTGGTCTCGAGCAGAACCGGCCGTACACTCAAGGTGAGTCGTTTCGTGGTTGTGACCTATGACAGGTTTCTGGATCCTTCTGGTCTGGACGAGCTTATATGAGGTTTGAAGTGAGGTCCGAGGATAGTTTCACTCTGATCTTTGACTTTTTTCCAGGCTCTGACGAAGGCAATAAGGCCGAAACGTTAGCCAATAAAACTGTTATATCATCTTGATCACGGCTACAGCAACACCCTAGAGAAAACTTCATAAGCGAATATTTTCGGGAGAAGGACGTTTGCTGTTCCCAGGTCAACAGCACGGTCTGGAACCTGGCCGCCTGAGACGTTACACAACTGCTTCAGGCTGACTTAAAGGCAGTTTGCACCATAATTTGGTAGTCTGCCTAGGATGTTAGTGGGTCGCTATATACCGGGAAAATTGCGAAAAAACGAAGTGAAACAGTCAAGAGCTGGGAAGAAAAGTCTTCGTTCTTTTGGGACGAGTTTCTCACAAGCATCTCGGCAGTATTCGCTACGGTAGATATGGCTGCATGAGTGTACACATATATTCATGCAGCTTTGCGGACGCTTCATACCAATCCATCCGCTTTATATGTATCTTACTTAGCAAATGAAGCAATGCGAGGATCAGGTACGGTCGCCCGTTTGTGGGCGAGCGGGTGTTGTAGGCGTTCGGGTCGGCATGTTGTGGCTTAACAAGGCCGTTATAAGAGTAACATCCTTGGGAAAGGTGCTATGCAGCGCCTGCTCAGGGTTGTGGAATGTCCTCCAGGCGTATTAATCCTACTCGTTGCAGGGATTTATCGTGCCAACTGCCTTCAAGTATTGCAGACCTTCTTAGACCCGCCCGATGATGAACGGTTCGGTAGAATAATGGACAAAGGTTTCGTTCTCTTTGTAGTATACATCTCAGAAATATTTCATCCTGGATCTTCCGTGCACTCACAGGGCGTGCCATAAATATGATCACAAATGTTCGCAGCGCTTGTGATTTTTCTGTGGCAACCTTTTCTATTCTTTTTTTTTAACAGGTTCATTGTACGTTTTTGCTTATACCACTGCCCTGTTGTATTTCGTCCACTAGCTTTCAAAAATGATGAAGCTCCATTCACATCCTGCTGCCATTGCGTTTCCATCATTACTCGTCAGTTCGTTTCCCTTGATAAACCATAAATTTGACACTGTGGAGTGTAACTCACGAGGCCATCTCGAAAAGTTTGTCCTGTCTCTGGTGCAATTCATCAGATAAAGGAAGTCGTGTAGGAAATACTAAAGCGGAACCATGTGCGAAATGACCGTACTTCATTGATGGAAATTTTAAGTCGTCCCAGACAAGCAAAGCCTCAAGAGAAAGGGAAATGTCGCACTCTTTAAATGCACGGCACCAATCTCATAAGACCAGTTATGAAAAAAAACATATTCAACGGAGATATTCAGATTCATGTCAGTGGTATCCCATACATAATCTGCAGTTGTCTGTGTGTCTGAGTGTTTGTGTGTCCGCTCGAAAATTGGGGCTACGTGAGAAATCATTTTAGAGAAGGGGTCACGCTTGGGGTCGATGTTACATGGGCCAACATTTACAGAGCATATGCAAACTAACCTAAGCTCCTCCCATAACGGACGGGACGTCCGCCGAAGTGGACGATGCCGAGGAGGAAAGTTCTGAAAGTGCATTCGCTGCGGCCCAAGGAATGTGGAATAGGAGTGAAGGTAAGCAACGAAATCGCCATGTGAAAAGAGTGAGAGCCGGCAGTACTGTTGAGATCTGCATCGAGTATGGGGGTGGGGTCGGGCTTGCTGCGACAGTTCGTAATTCGGTTCCGAAACACACCAGAATGGTATAATTGTAGTGAGCAGGTGTACGTAAAGACTGAAAGACTGAAAGAGTCAAATCCAAAAATTCGTAGTTCTATTTGTTCACTTT